CCCCAGCCATAGTGGGGGTTGCTCAGTGGGACCATCTCCCCCAGGGTGACTGTCTGGGGCCATGTCCCTCTGTGGCCTCACCGTAGGGATCTCAGCACCGCGTCCTGGCTCCTGCCTTACACAGGCAGTGCCCTGAGCACTGGCTCCTTGGCCCCACCCTTATATAGCACCCAGGAGGACATTCCAGCAGCCATGGATCGGGTGACAGAGTTCCCCCAGTGGCATTTGAGCTGATGGGACTGGGGTCACCTGGCACCCGTCATGGGGTGGTTGTTTAGCCCTCTGCCCCCTCGGGCAAGGGGAACGGGGGGGTGGTGCCTGCCCAGACCTTCAGCACCCGTTGGAGCAAAGCTGTGGGGCAGAAGCACCCAACAACACGGTCCTGGGTGTTTGGTGGCTTCTGGGACCACAGGGATTGGGAAGGAATGTTGGGTTTTAACCTAAAAGTGCTCTGGAAGGGATAAGATGCAGAAAACACCTAAGGCTTTAAAAGTGAGCAGTTTGAGAGAGAGAGCAGCACTGAGTGCTCCCCACAGGGCAGGCCCTTTCCCCTGCATGGACCACAGAGCCATAATCTATCCCAGGCAGCTGCTAAGCCTGCTGGTGGGATTGCCACTGCATGGTGGAACGTGCTCCCGGAGCTCACGTGGAGTAGCTCCGAGGTGAATCAAACCATGATGCTCTTCGGAGCGTGGCCAGGCACTGGCTCTGAGGCTGCCAGGGGGAAAGGGCTCAGGGCAAGAGACTGGAGGCCAAGGGTGGAGTGAAGAAATGCCCCTTTTCCTCCATTTTTAAAGAATTCCATGTGTTTAACCCTTGGTGCTCATCAGCAACACAGTGACAAAGTGTGAAGGGATGAGCCATATCCCTTGGGATGTGCCTGGAGTCTGTGCTCACCCATCCTGCATGAGCACATGAAAGAGAGTTTGAGTGGTCCTGACACCCTGAAGCCACCTTTGCTCCATCCCTCAGGCCCCAGGGAAAAGCTGCCTGGCATGGACACCCCTCTCCAGCTGGCTCCTGCCTTGTTTTCCTGCTTGGCTGCCCTCTGTTCCATCACTGACCTAACCCAAGAGGAAGAGACTGTTTACCTCTTGCCCAAGATATAACTCAGGGGTCAACACCGTCATGTTCTCTGTGACAGTGTTCCCAGCCCAGCTGGCATCCTGCCCGAGGGTTTTTTCTGGGATGCCACCGTGAGAAAGCAGTTTGCATATGACGCCTGTCCTCACAGGGGACACTGGGCAGGTTTACCTCTCCCCCGACCCAGCAAGGGCAGGGAGAGGGGCCACGACCACAGGGCAGGTTGTGTCAACACTGACGTATGCATTTAGGATGTGTCCTGTGAGAAACAGCTCTGCACAGGTGGGAGGAAAATGGGATGCTGATCCCTTGGCTCCTTTAAATCCCGGATTCCTCATGTGGTTCGAAAAGCAGCTCGAAGTGGGAGTGACTCGTGCCACGTGGCGGTGGTGATACTTAATTCCTCGGCAAAACAGTGACCTTTCCCTGTGCCCCCAGCTTCCAGCAGCATTTCTCCCAGTGGAGTTCTGTGGGGAAAGGATCTCTGTCCCCTGTTGAGGACAGGCTCCTGCCTTGACAACCAGACACTTCACACCAGCCAACAAGAAACCAGAGGAATTTTATTGAAACACACACTGGAGAGAGCAGTGCAAAAATAACTGAGCTCTGCTGGCATCAAAGTCTATTCTCTGAAAGGCCCTAAACATAAAAATGTACAAAAATAACTTAGAATATAAAAGTTTCCTCTTCCTAGTCACCCCCTTTTGTGTGCTTTACACTGTTTTGCAGCGCCCTTGGCATGTGTTTACACAAGCACTTTGGGCACCTCTACAAACAGCAAACTGTGCACCAATGGTTTTTGGAAGGGTGATTTCCCAGGAATAAAACTGCAAATGTGACTATCTGGAGAGTAGTTACCAGCTCAGCAGGTACCCACAGGGGTGTGTCTCATCGGGGACCTGCCCCTGCGAGACACACAGTCTCTGGGGGTGACCACAGGCTTTCAGCCCCTCTAATGGGATTTAAATTAACTAACCAATTAGGCAAACTAAGAGCCTGAAACCTGTGGCATTCCCTGGAGGAGGTGGTGTTCGCCAACACCTCGGGCCATGGCTGGGGCAGCAGCCACTGCCCACGGCCCCTCGCCAGGGCTATTCCTTCTTGGAGAGCTGAGCTGAGAAGATCCTGGAGATTCTTTGGGTCTCCTCTTCTGAGAGGTTGGGTGTGGGCTTGGGATGATTCGGTCTCCGGTATGGGATACCATCTGGCACTGCTCCACTCCTGTGCTGTGGAAAGAAGGGACAAGGAGTGAGAGCTCTGCACGTCACGGCAAACCACAGAGTCATGCAGAGGGTGAGAGGCTGGATACACAGGAAAAAAGACCACAGTGAGAGGTCACAACCCCAAAATGGGGCTCTGGAGTGTGAACTCATTTGTGAGTGTCTATCCTCAGCCAAAGTCTCCCTGTGTGAAGCCCAAGGAATGCCACTGCTGTAGTCACTGGGATCTGACCTCCTGCATTTTGGTTTTCAATTATGCTTTTACTTTTTAATTTGCAGAACCCTAAAGACCAAATCCCCTTGCTGTGGACAAGCAATGCTACAGCACAACAAATCCAAACCTGCTGACAGGACAGGGCAGGGAATGGGTTTAAACTAAAACAGGTGAGTTTTAGATTAGATGTTAGGAAGGAATTGTTCCTTGTGAGGTTGCTGAGGCACTGGCACAGTTTGCCCAGAGAAGCTGTGGCTGCCCCATCCCTGGAAGCGTTCCAGGTCAGGGTGAAGCAACCTGGTCTAGTGGAAGGTGTCCCTGCCCATGGTAGGGGGGGGAACTGGATGATCTTTAAGGTCTCTTCAAACCCAAACCATGATTCTGATTCTTTTCCAGCCGCAGCTTTGTCCCAGATGCTCCAGTAGCACTAAAGAGGAGTAATTTCAAGGTACAAAGAAACCCACATCTCTCCCCAACTAGTTTAGAACAAGGTCATGCCTGTGAAGCACCCAAAAAGCAGAGATTCAGCTCCAGGAACCTTCAGAGGGTGAAGCTGTGGGGGCAGGAAGGTCTCTTGGAAAGCTGATCTGCCCATCCAGCCTTTCACCTACATGGCTGGAACAGCTCCGTTACAGCCTCAGGAAAGGTCTCCTGAGGTGATCAGCTCCCTCCCAAGGGAAACAGCACCAAGATCCTGGTTTGGTGAGCTCTTCTCTTCGATGTGCACTGTTTGGGGAGGGAAATGGCTTTTTTTAGGAATAACTATGTCCTTTTGTTTTGCTACCTGTGCATTACAGGCTCAGCTGACAGTCTGCAGGTAAAATACTTTAAAAACCCTTCCCATTTTTATTGCACTGAAATAACATACATGGATATCTTGGAGAATCATGGCTTTGTTCTTTCTTCTTAACAATTCTCCAGGATGATTTTCCTAAACCAAGATGTAAGAAGCCAAAAGAGAATAAACACAGACCTGGCAACGTTAGAAGCTTAAAACCCAGCAGAGAGAGAGCTCCTCACTGGCCAAAGCACTTCCCTAGGACAGCTCAGGGCTGTCCGAACCAGACCAGGTCAGGAGCTCATTGTTCCCATGCTGGTTTCTGCCCATCTGTCCATAGAATGGCAGGAATGTCAGGATTGGCTGCAGAGGGGCAGTGACCAGGCTCTGTGCTGGTCCCAGAGCTCTGTGCAGTATTGGTAAACAGCTCTCTAGGAAATCTCTCAAATCTGCCAGTTAACCCTGTTTCAAAGGTGCATGAAACTTCGCTTTGCCTCTCACAGTTCCCCTCTCACATGCCCTTGTGCCACACAGGTGGTCATGTACTGCCAAGGATGGAGAGAGCACATCCCTGGTACAGAATCCCAGAATGGTTTGGGCTGGAAGGGATCTTAAACCTAATATGGTCCCACTCCCTACCACGGGCAGGGACACCTTCCACTAGACCACGTTACTCTGACCAGGCCTGGAACACTTCCAGGGATGAGGCAGCCACAGCTTCTCTGGGCAACCTGTGCCAGTGCCTAACCACCCTCACAGGGAACAATTCCTAATATCTAACTGCTGGAAGGAGCTCTGTACTCCAACACCACGACCCAGGAGCAGGTGTCTGATGCTATTCCATGTCATGAGGCCATGGAGAGCAGTTGGTTTGCTCTTGAAGTCAGTAAACAAGGTATGCCTGGAGAACACACCACTGGCATGTTGTTTCAGAGACAAGCAGCTAAAATACACCTCCTCTCATTTTCATACTGCTGTGCCAGTCTGCAGGATGCAGAGAGGTTAGGACCATCCTAAAAATGAACTCCCAGCTGTGGGAAAGGTTTAGCAGCTCTTCTTGCTGCCATTCTACATCCACAGGAGAGAATCAAAATGAGAGAGGTTTAAAAGTGCTTGCACAGATGATCAGACTCATAGAATCATGGAAGTGCTTGAGTTGGAAAAGCCCTCCGAGATCGAGTCAACTGTTCCCCCAAACAGGCAGCTTCTAACCCTCAGTTTTAACCTCCTGCATAGTTTCCAGAGCACAGGTCTGAAATGTCCTGTTTACACCATTCCTCACTCCAGGAAGAGGCTTGGCCAGGTCAGGCTCCAACCTGAGCACAGTCAGCCCCTGTTCCAGGTTTCTCCCTCTCTGTCTCCCAGACTTCAAGTGTCTGGTGCTCAGCCAGGAAGCACACACGTTCCATCAGGAAGATGCAAGAAGGAAGAGGACTTGTGCACTCAGGATCACGCTTCACTTTTCTTTTTATAGGAGTGGCAGTGACACTGAAACCAGCCAAGGATTATCCAGGGGCTGTGTGCCAGGGACTGGATTAAAGCAAGCAGATCCATGAGCACTTTATAGGTCATGGAGGCGGGGGAATGGCTTCATTCAAGGTCAAAGAATTCCAGTCTTGGAGGCAAAGGATGTTCCAGCACTGTGGATCAGCATTTTGCTGGTAGTTCTGCTTGAGCACAGGAATGGAGGGCAAACAGATCTGTGTTAACATGCTACAGCCTACCCTGGCAGTGGCCTTGCACCTGCTCCTGTTTTCCAGGCAGAAGATCAAGAAGATCCAGCAGATCCAGAAGGAACAACACAACCAAGAAAGGATGTCTGGCCTGTTGCCACTGTCTGCATTTTTAGAACATATAAAGTGTGTTATTGACTCCACCTATGGCTATGTTAGCTCCAATTCACACTCAAGGTAATTCTATGTATAGATAAATATTAAATTATGCTGACTAAACCTGGTTTCCATATAAGTTTCTCATCCCTTTGGAATATTCACAGAATCAGTTAGGTTGGAAGGGACCCACAACAGGTTATCAGGACCATTCCTAGAGGTGACAGGAAAAAAACCCCCAGGACATTAGGAGAAGGACAGAACAAGAGGGAATGGCTTCCTAATGACAGAGGGTGGGGTGAGATGGGATATCGGGAAGGAATTCTGCCCTGTGAGAGTGGTGAGGCACTGGCACAGGTTGCCCAGAGAAGCTGTGGCTGTTCCATCCCTGGAAGTGTCCCAGTCCAGGCTGGACAGTGCTTGGAGCAACCTGGTGCAGTGGAAGGTGTTCCTGCCCATGGCAGGAGGTGGAACTTGATGGGCTTTGAGGCCCCTTCCAACCCAAACCATTCTGTGACTCTATGACTTTATGGAAAGGTTTATGAACTGTCTCATTGCTTACAACCATCCTCCTGCCCCCCCCTCACAGCAGTGTGAAAGAGAAGAGCTGGGAAGGACCTCAATAGCTGGAAGTCTAATGGAGAAAAAGAGTAAAACCAATCAGGTTTCCTGAGTCTCTGCAAAGCTCAGGTCCCTGGAATGCAGCCACAGTGTCCAGGCTAAGGCCTGAGCTGCTGCAGCACCTCCTCAGATCCCCACGACCTGTAGCAGGAGCTGAGACAATCTTTTTGCTCAGAATGCTGCAGCTCCTTTGACATGAAAAGAGGGAGCCAGACAAGCCAGGGAGAGGCGGCAGGAGCACTAGGCAGGCCAGGAGAGATGTTTGCCAGCTGCCACGTGAGCAGAGGAGATCTGGTGATCTTCTGAGGAGAACAGCTCATATTTCAACCTTGTTGCCATGCTTGGTGTATGCTGAACTGGTTTAGCAACTGACGTTCTAAAGGCCAATTAAAACCAAAACTATGAGGCAGCAGTTTTTCTGAACTTGTTCTTCCACAGGGTGTTTGCTGCTGGGGACACACAAAAGGCATAGCCCAGTCCTGTCTCAGAGACCCTACAACTGCTGCAGCCAAGGATTAGCTGCAGCTAATCCTGGAATTAAGCTGGTTTAAGATCAGCTATATCCAAATAGGCAGAATATTAGCAAGGCACTAATTATGAATCATTTTCAGGGCTCGGTTTGCAGCCACTCAGCCTAGATCTGCAGAGAAGAGGAATCCTCCGGCATTAATATGGAAGCACAGGTTTCCATGATTTCAGAGTTACTAGGTCCTGCCTGATTCTGTTCTGATTTGTCAAGCAAACTGTGCCCAATGACATAAATGTTCCTTAGAGCCTTTGCTTCCTATGTCATATGGAAGGGAATCATTGCATTATCTTATCTGGGAGTGGTTATCAAACAGCCAAGTGCTGCAGTAGTCAGATCCACAGCAACATCTACAGTCAAGCTGGGGCTGGAAAACAACCATGGAATCACAGAGTGGTTTGGGTTGGAAAAGACCTGAAAGATCATTCAGTTCCACCCCTTGCCACCTTACCTCACATTAAAGCATGAAGAAGTATGGAGTGAGCACCTGCCACTTCCACTGACCCCAGTGGAGCAATATTCCCTGGGCATACAGATCGACTGGCTGACACAAAGGCGTAAGGACCACAGACAACATAGCCATGAACGTTAAAAAAAATTATCCTCACAGAGAGAAGAGGGACCAGGAAGGTTCTTCTTGGTGTGATTTGGAAGCTATCACCTCTAAGCTGAGTGCTAGCAGGCAAAGGAAGGGAGAAGCACTTTTGCATCTGCTTTAAGGAATGGAGTCTAAGTTTGATAGTGAAGGAAAGGCCATCCCATACTTACTTTTGGAGCTGTGGAAGAAGTGCTGAGCAGTCTCATGGAGGCTTCCATCTGCTTGGGTGGAAGGAAGAAGTTTGGAACAACAACAGGATCAGATCTGAGCAGAACTGTTAAGGAACAACCTTTAGCAGAGTGTACTGCAAGGAGCTCCAGGTGTGGAATAAGCCTCAGCTGTTAATGGATCCCAAATAGTGAACCTCATTTTTTTTTAATCAATATTTTATTGTTCTTAACACTTGGCTCTCCCTCTGGGGCTCACAGAGTGTGGGACACTGACTGGCTTTAGGATTACTTGTAATTTTGCAGAAAAATATTCTGCAAAAATTCCAACACTGCTTAGTTGAACGGAATGTGAAACTTGGGATCTGTGCAAGAAATGTGGGAAAGTAGTGTAAAAGCAAAATAAACCACTTGTTTACAGAGAAACATGGGAGCTCTAACACATGAAGAAAGTGCAAGAAGACACACTGGAGCTGCCCAGAATGAAGCTGTCAGACCACCCACCAGTTCTAGATTCAATCCCCAGGGAAGAGCTCCACAGAGCGAACTGCTTTTTTTCCTGAGGCCAGGGAGATCTAACTAAGCAGGAAGATCTAACTCCTGGAATGCAGGGAGTGTTTGAGAAGAGAGTGAAGAAGGATACAAAGAGATTTTTGGTTTGATGGAGTTTTCTGACTCTCCCAGTGGGTCCTCGCTGCTGCCATCAGAAAAGCTCTCACTGTGTCTCTCTGAGCCAGCTTGGGCTGATACACTCTTAACACAGTTCTCATCAGAACCACTGCCTTCCTTGTCTTGCTGGTCTTCATTAGCAACCTCAGCCTTTTCCTCCTTTCCCTTTTCTGTGGTTTTTGGCTCAGCCAAACCCTTATCTCCTGGGAATGGCAGCATGTCTTTGGAGCCTGCATGGAACTCTACAGTTTTCTTTGTGGGACCAGTGTTAAGTGCTCTGTGCCACAGGCTCTGTCCAGCAGGCTGAAGCAGCTCCTTCTCTGTTGTTTCTGTGCTGCTCTTCAAGCTTTGGAAGCCTCCTATGGCTGCCCAAGGACTGCTCCCATCAGCGTGGGGGCTAAGGGTGGTGAGCACACTGTGGCTGTCCCCTTGCAGTGTGCTGGACAAGGTGCTGCTCCGTCTGCTGCTTCCTCCTTGGAAACAACCTACATCTACGGAGCTCTGATCTTCAGTCCTGGAGTCCACAGGCTGCTGGCCAGGCCCCTGCCCTGTTTCTGAAAGCACACTGGACCAGGGACTTGTTTTGTCTGTCATGTTAGTAATTTCATTAAGAGTTCGTGGTTCTATAATGTCTTCTTCATATTCTTCTTCACTGCATGGCTGGATGGCACCTTTATCTTCCTGGATATAATCCATGGGATGCTGATCTTCAGGGACAACGTGGCCTAGGAGTTCATGCAACATTTGTCTATCAAACACAGACCTCCCCAGACTGCATGGCTGCTGTGTATCACTGCAAATGCTGTGTGAGTCCAGCTCCAGCTGGCCCTGATGGACCTCAGGTCTGGCTCCTTCCTCCCAGCTGGGCACATCCGTAGCTCCCAGCTTTCTGCTGCTGTCCTGATGCACATTAGAAGCTTCTTTACTGTTTTTAGTTATAGTCTGTAAATCTGGTTAACAAAAAACAACATCAGTAAAAATGAATGGCAAATTCTGGCATAATAGGGAAGCGTCCTTCAACTCCATATCTTGGAAGCACTACTTCCCCGGAGGGAGCTGTGGGCAGAAAGAGCATGGAATAACTTTTCAGCTGGCAGCTCTGAGCTACAGTTGATTCTCTGCTCTGATAACTTATTTGAAAAGCATCAGCAGGGGTTTGATTTCCTTGTGATTTTGCTACTCACAGCAACAACTTACCACTGATTAGGCTGCTGACCTGAGACACCAACTGACTAGATTTTTCCAGAAGATGGCATCCATTGGGATCCACTTCCCTGCTCACCAGGCCCTGATGGTCACTCTCCTGCTCCTCATGGCTTGGTCTGGATGTGTTCCCATAACTGAAGTCAGGAAGAGTCCTGGTCAGCTTCTGGTTGAAGTATCTTTGGACCTCATCCAGCTCACTTAAGTTTTTTCTGCAAGCAGTGGTGAGAAATTTGGTGAGAGGAGCAAAAAAAGCCTGTGGCAGACTGGGTTTGGTTGTATCACTCTAGTCAACAGCATGTAAATATTCAAATATAGGATTAAAGGTTATTACTGAAACTCAGATCAGTAGGTAAGTGTTGAGGTTGCTCTAAGCAAGAGAATAACACTCAAGAACATCCTGAATTGGCTATGACACTTAGGCTGGAAGCTGAAAAAAGAGCTAGTTTTAAACTTACTGAATCAAAGGAGTTGGATTTGAGATGACCTTTCAACAAAAGTCATAAAGCCAAGAATATTATTTGACTTTATGACCGAGCTTGTAAAATCCGAGGATTTCTACCTGCTTTAAGACGTATTGCTTGTGGTAGCAGGGGCAGGGATGAAATGCCTCAAAAAGTCTCCTTTAGTTCTACACTCCTGCAGGTTACAAATATTATTCTTTAAATTTATACCCGATTTAAACCGAGAATCTAGTCAAGAGGAAAGTGCTTCTAGCAAGGAGGAAGTAATCCTGTTGGGAAAGGACATCTTGCCCTGTGCACCACAGAAATGCTTACAGGTTTGTTCTTGTGCAAACCAGCTCAGGGAACCATTGGCTTCACGTAGTGTGACAGATGTACCAAGGTGGATAAATCCAAGCATTCCATCCAGATTTGGAAACGCTGCTGTTGCTGAGAAACTCAACAGCCACATCATGTGATGTGGAGCTCCCCACCCAGTCCCTGCTTTCCTACCCTCACCTCATCCTGCTCCAAATTACACCTCATCAGTTATTGCACAGTTTCACTTTGATTTCCTTTAAAATGGGACTCTTCGCTTCCAAGCTGCTAACCTAAAAGCTTGGCATTCCCTGGCTGGCTCCAGCTGTGCTTTACCTGAGAGCAGTGAGGAGCGAAGCACGTGACGCTGATGATGATGAGTCCAGCCTGGCTGCTCGGTGCACGTTCCCCTCCGCATGCTGCAGGGACTCATGGAATCTGCGCACGTTCTCCATGTGCTCCTCGTGACGAGGCCTGTGTGCTCCAGGGGAACTCATCCTGCAGGACACAGGCCTGTGTTTAACACCAAAACTCAGGGTAAAATCTCTAATTGGGAAAAGTCTGCCAGCTAAGAATATTCAATGTGTGGAAATCCATTAAAGAGCGACTGACGGATGAAAATTGCTCTTTCAAATGTTCACGAGAACCAAAATCAAGCTAATGGTATGGCTGGTAGGGAATTTGCCATGGCTGCTGGCAGCTGCCAAGCTGTTCAGATCACACAGCAGTGGCCCACAGTCCCTCTAAGCTTCAAAGACACATATAGGAGAAGGATCATCTCCCTAGGTTAAACAAACAAATCATGGATGAAAACACTCTCTCACTAGTTAAATATATTTGGTGCTTGTTTTAAGGGACAGGACACAAGAATTACTGCAGGATATCTGACAGTCCTAGTCCTGGAATATGCAACACTACAGCATTTCACCGGCTGTCATTCACTAGCTGTGGAGAGAAGTTAAAAGAAAGTAAATCCTGTATCCATCAGGAATGCTCTATTCCAGCTTACACTTCTTATACTTCTTAAAAACAAAACCACATACAAACACAATCCTTGTTCTTATCAGGGCCTGGAGGAAGTACCTTCCAGTTTCATCAATGGCACCATGTAAATCCTAATTGTAAATGAAACAAATGAGGAAGTATCAACAAGAAGAAAAAGGACATCTGGGTTCTGCTGAAATGCATCTGTCCCAGGATTCCTATCTCCTGCCCCTCCCTCTCCCTGGGAAAGGGAATTTGCTCTAATTTTTAAGACCAAACACAGGGAAGGACCTTTGACAGGGTTTGCTCTTTTTTTCAGTAAAGTTGAAAAGCCTCAGAGAGGTATTTCTGAGGCTTGAAAATAATCCAAGTGGTTGACAGCCTGTGAACTTACCAGTCTCGAGTAGGAACACTGACTTCCCTCGACAAGGAATTCAGCAGCTGCTTGGAAAGGTCTGCAGCATTACTAGGAAATGCTGGAAAGCTGGCCTTCCCCTAGAATGAAGAGGAACACTGTACATGAGTCTCCCACAGCAGGAAAATAAGAGCATTTAAAGCAGTATCTTGCTGAACTAACAAAAACTTAAGTTTTCTAACTAGCTTGAAATTTTCAGAGGATTTTCCAGCACTGAGCCAAAGTACCACTTCACAACACTCATTTTGGACACTTTTGTGAATTCCCCCCCCACTACTGAAGAGTAAACTGATGGAAAGTAAGACAGAGGCTCCATTACATGTGTACAACAAACCCCAGCACACTGGATACAGAAAAACCCAGAAGAAATGGCCAATCTTCCAGAAAACAGATTCCTGCCACATTAGAAGCTTCCTAACAGCATATATACAGCTGGATTTACAGTATGTTTTGGGGCATCAGCTGTCACTCAAAGCAGCAAACAGGACAATGCCAGGCACCCAGAACCACAGAAAATTCTCCCAACAATACAAAACCCACAAAGCAAGAACAGAGTGAAGGCACCGGGGATGTTCATGGCTTGGTCTGAATGAGGAACTAGTGTAAGCCTGCAGCTACCATGGAAATTACATCAGAATTCCTAAGGAATTCAGTGTTTCTGGTACATTTACACAGACTGGTCCATGCCAGGGCTGTGAATTTGCTATGTGTGCTCAGAAACATGGAGAGCTGGTGCTGATTTTTAGGAATCTAATGAAACATGAGGGGAGGAAGTGGAAGCACTTACGAATGAGGAACTAGTGTAAGCCTGCAGCTACCATGGAAATTACATCAGAATTCCTAAGGAATTCAGTGTTTCTGGTACATTTACACAGACTGGTCCATGCCAGGGCTGTGAATTTGCTATGTGTGCTCAGAAACATGGAGAGCTGGTGCTGATTTTTAGGAATCTAATGAAACATGAGGGGAGGAAGTGGAAGCACTTACAGCCTAGTGGCTCCCGGGCTCGGGCTCGGGCCTGCCTCTCCTCTTTGAGGCTGTTTATGTTCTGGAGAGGGGAAACTGCTACTTTAATCTGCCCTCGGCACTGCCCACTGAAGTCTGTGATGTTGTACCACCCACACACGAGCTGGAAGCCGGAAAGGAGGGGAGAAAGGTCCACGGATGCAAATCCTATCACTCGCTCAGCCTCTGGGGAAGAAGAAGGAGATAAAGCACATATTGAAACTGCATTGTAATGAATTTCCAGGACTGCTAAAGCACAGTCAGGTATATACAGCCCTTGAAATGCATCTTGGAAATGGAAATGAATTTCCAGGAATCCTAAAACACAGTTATATACAGCCCTTGAAATGTGTCTTGGAAATTGACTTGAGGTACAGAACAAACAATCCTATGGAAGAAATGATTTGGATCACCTGAGTTACATTCAGCTAAAAAAGTCCCTGCAGAGCCAGTGAAAGCCCAGGGCAGGGAGAGGGACTGGCAGGAGAATCCCTGTGCACACACAGTACTCTAGACAATACAGAGAAAGGCTGAGTTACACAGAGTTTATTTTTGAAGCAAAAATCAGACAACTTTTATATGTAAAAAGAAAGAAATAAAAGTATTTGATTACAACTTCAACCAACTGCGGAGAGAGCAAACAGCATGTGAAGGATGCAGTGAAGAATTTCCTTCAGTAGGAAAATCCATCCCCTAAAATGCTGTCAAAATAACACCAGACATAATACAAATCAACTAACCCTTGTAAGATGATTGATGGGGAAGAGGAGGATATCAAGGGCCAGCAAATCAATAGGTATTTATTTATCTTTAGCATTCTTCTAGTGCAAGGTAAAAAATGTAATTAGAATTCTAGCCCCCAATTTACTTAATAGAATCTATTTTACTTGCATGAAATACAAGTGACCCAAGGAAAGAGATGCAGAACTGACACTCCTCTCAATATTGCACTACAAGCTTTACCTGCTTTGTGCCACACTTTGAAGACCAATGTTTGCTGTGGATCCAGCAAAAGCTCTTTGGATAATCTGGTAAGAACAAAAATAATATTTTATGCTAAGCAGGAAAAGGAACAAGTACAGTAAAATGCCTCTGAAGTTTCAATGCACTGTATCTACCCAGACGAAACAGGTTCTTTCTCAACTGATGTAAGGGGGAACAAATCAAATCCCGAAATTACTGAGCCCTCAAAGCATAACTATCTCTACATGATTTGGGTTTCTGCTTATTGAAGAAGTATTTTCCTCTCCTCACTCCTGCATTACATTTCAGAATAGGACAATAAACCCACAAAGGAACAGAAATACAGTATATTTCATGACTTAATAATGCAGTGACAACGAAGCACTGAGGTTACAGTTGAAAGCTGTAATGTTTGAAGTTCATTCCTGGAACAGAAAAAAACCCAACCTGAATCTTGAAATGTCAAATGCAGAACAGTTTTTGTTTGAAGCAATTCACATATTAGAAACACTGGAGAAGCCACAAAATTGGAAACACAGGTTTATTCCTGAATATTACCACGTATGACTTGAATCTGCTGAGGTTCCTTAGAGTGGTCAGATTCATCTGTTCTAATTTAAACTCAGACATCTAAGTCTGAGGTAAAAAAAAACCAAACCAGTAAATTCGATTTGTCCAATTTATGGACAGAGGGCAGGGTTAGATGGGATACTGGGAAGGAATTGTTCCCTGTGAGGGTGGTGAGACACTGGCACAGGTTGCCCAGAGAAGCTGTGGCTGCCCCATCCCTGAGGGGGTTCCAGGCCAAGTTGGGGCCACCTGGTCTGGTGGAAGGTGTGTCTGCCCACAGCAGGGAACTGGATGGGCTTTAAGGTCCTTCCAGCCCAAACCTGTGATTCTCTGACATGTTCTTTCACACCTGGCCTGGCTGTCAGGACCCAGGTGTGTCTGTGTGAGTCCCCATCACTGACCTTGCTTGCTGCTGGAAGTCCCAGACTGGTGAGTCTGTATTTTCTATGACTGGAGTGGTTACTGGAGCATCTGCACCAGCAACAGCAAATGACACACAGCTGCTGGGTGCTGTCACCTCACGTTCCGTCAGAGGGCTTCCTGAAATTATACAGAATTAAATACAGACTTGTTATTACTACTCAAAAAAAAAATTAAAGCAGTTCAGCAATTAAAAACAGACAATCAGCAAAGAAACCCACCGTCTAGAAAATACTCCTTTTCCTTGCTGGAGCGGAAAATGCTTTGTATTTACAATGGGAGCAAATATTACTTGAACCTTTTATAGAAAAGAAAATGGAGTATTCAAGGGAGAGATGGAAAAACCATTTGCCCATCATCTGAGAAGTCAGAGTCACCTCAAAAAGACTGAAAGATTTAGAAAAACTTAACGTTCCTGGAGCATGAAACAGTGGATCTTAACAGAGATGTTTCCAGCAAACTCCCCTCAGGTCAAGTTCCTTATTCCTGTTGTATTCAGGCAGCATGTAATGGCCCAAATGGGATCAGATCTCTCAGAGTGCTGAGCAAACACTAAGTGATCAAGTCATGCAGTGCTAGAGGTAGCCAAGGTGAAGGGCAGAGCACTTGATGTGTCTGAAAGGGTTTAACTCATCTTGAACAAAGAGATTCCTTCACAGACTGCAGGGAAAAACAAAGGGCTCCAAATCCCTGCAGAGTCCCCAAGTGCTGCACATCAAAACATCACCTGCCTGGAAGGAATATTTTAATACACTTAGCATACATTTCAAAGCAAAGAGCAATTCTTTGGTGACCCTCAGCACAGTGACTATCCCTGGAACTGTTAATTTCCACTCTGGAGAGAGGGAAGTGGTGTGTCAAGCCTGGGTGAGCTCAGACTGCTGTGCCCTTACACTGCCCTTCCTCGCTGCTGTCTCTGGAGAGTAGGAGTGAACCAGCTTTACAAATTGATATGCTAAACATGCAAATTTGCAGGAGGTTTTGAGATAGGAGTGTCCTGGGGTTTAGTTATTCCAATAATGCTTAATTTAGGGTTTAGTTATTTAGTTATGCTTAACTTCAGAATTCAGCTGTCACCTGTAGCAGGGAACATTGTGTTGGATTTTATTCACATAGACTGAATAGTTGCACCTCCTGCTTTCCCTGTGCTTACACAACCATGCAATGCTCTTGGGGTCACAACACAACAAAATCAAGTTCAACACCCGTTGGTGCCATTCACTTTGCTGGAGCATGAACAGATCCCAGAGGGAAAAAAGAAGGAAGAAAAAGAGAAGAAAAAAAGGATGGTGGTGATGATATTACCTTTTAAACTTAGATGCATTGCTCTTTCCACAAGGATGTTGACAGCCACTGTGTTTTCCAGCAACATCACATCTTCCTCCTGTGGTTTGCCATCAGTGAGTCCTGAACTCACAACATCCAATTTCTGATCTTCAGAGACCTCCTGGCTCCTATCAGGGGCTCTTCCTGTGCCTTCCTCCTCACTGCTGCTGTATTCCTCGGCACAGCAGAGTGTGCTGGGCAGAGCAGGCATGGGAGAAAGGCGAATGTGCACACGCACAGCAGCCCCAGCTAGGTCTGCAGCATTGCATCGGAACAGCGGGTAAACCCCTGCAGGAGAGAGCACAGACACCCAGCTAAACCAGCCTCAGGGGAAACAGCAGCTTGGAAAACTGCTGGCAGAATTTACATTACAGAGGAGATCTCACATCAGCCCAGCAGAAGGAATTTGATGTTCAGGGTAATTTCTATGCAATGTATCACCCAGAAGTATCAGCTTGTAAAGGTTAAAACCTATGACCAACCCTTCAAATTAGGTAAACCTCCATTTGTCCCTGGCAGCAGCTCAGATTATTATATTAAAGCACATCAACTTCCCAAGAGCCCTGGGAATAGTGTCTCTGCCTAATTTTATATACATATATGGAGACTACAACACATACTCAGCATAAAAATTTGATTTAACTCTTCCTCCTCCCTTCCCTGAGTGTATCTAAAAGAAGAGGGAATGCCCTGTCCACAAATCTACCTGTGGCTGATGGATACCATGTGGGTGACAGAAGCCTAAGTAACTGAAGAGAGCAGAAATTTCCATGACCTTCTCAGTACTTAGACATTTGCTGTGACTGCATCCAGCCTCCTTGCGAGACAATATTCTTACAGATTCTCACTCTAACATGACAGCCAATCCATAACCCTGAAGATATGTTCTTCATCTGTCCACACAGGCTAATTGCTCTCACTGTTACTGATCATTCCTGACAATTTTTCACCCACTTAAACATGCTAAGTTGTGAATTCAGAGCAGCAAGATTTTAACCTTATTTATCTTCAGAGAAAGGAGGAATTCAGAGCCTGTTGCATGGAGCAACAGCCATAAACTAAAACACACGTTCCACCTTTGCATGAGGAAGAACTTTCCATGGAGGGTGGCAGAGCACTGAAACAGCAGCCCAGGGAGGGTGTGGAGTCTCCCTCTATGGAGACATTCCAAATCCACCTGGATGCATTCCTGTGTCATGTGCTCTATGTGATCCTGCCTTGGCTGGACTGGATGATCTCCAGAGGTCTCTTCCAACCCCAACTATTCTGTGATTCTGTGCAGGACAAAATGAAGCTTAAATTTTGCTTAAAGTGACTAGAGGAGGAATTAAACTAAATCACCAACGAAGAAGAATGAAACATGACACTGTGCTTTGGGAACTTACCACTAACACTCAGTGTTTTCCTCGATCGCTCTGCTAATGCCGCAAGGTCAACGTAGGCAGATCCAATCAGATGATCTGAATCGAGTGGTCTTTCCACCTCATTTTCCTTACCGTATGCCCACCACACCTGGATTTCCAATTTTTCCTCTCTGAAGAACCACAGCAGTCCTTGGCTCCTTCTGAGAGTCATCTTGTTCGGTTTCTTAAATTTCACTGTAACGGTCTCTGTGTCATCACTCAATTTTGGCCGTCGAAGCAAAGTCCACGTAGCTTCCTGGTTGTACAGCTTGTACCTGAGGTAACAGTAAGTGCTTTTATTGAGGTGTGTCTGGCCTGAAAGCAGCACACAGTGGAGTGGCAGCCACACTCTTGGGATTGAGATGGTCACAGTCACTGGACTGGCACTCTGCTCCCATCCATCGCTGTCATCCGTGCTGTCTTCATGGGTCTCCTCACTGCTCCATCCTAAAAGCTTAGCAGCCTTCAAAACATGCTCTCTGTCATCCTGATGAGCAAAGGTGACAGAAAGTTCCAGCCCTCCCACAATGGCCTGCATGATGTTCGTGCAGTGTGAAGGCATTGAATCTTCAGAGAGGGTCACTGGGTACCAGCCTGAAATGCCTTCAAGGAGACAAGATCATCATTAGATGGATGCCACTGACTCACTGCCAGTGAAGAATTGTCACCTCTCTGGTCATCAGTCAAGGACCAGAACTTGAAGTGTTTACTCTATGCAATGTATCACCCAGAAGTGATACATTGCAGCTCCATTATTAGACTTCAGGAAACCCCGGCAGTAGTTCAGACCCCACAGGCACTTTGCTTTCCATTTCATTAACAACTCTGATTTTACAGTGAAACTACATCCCATGAATCTCCAATTATCAAATTTAGTATTCTCATTTCTTTCCTCCTCTCTTCCCATTAAAAACAACCCCAAAATTCCATGTTGAAGAAAACAAGAACTACAGTGAAATTAAAGCAGAAATAACCCAGGCAAACATGAAAACACCATTATTACAAGACACAATAATCCCAAACTAACACTAGATAGAGGAAATATTCTACATTTAGTTTAAAATAAAAGTTAATCCTACTACTTTCTAATGAGCTAATACCTTTGCTTTCAGCTTTGACATCTGAAAAGCAATCACTGCTCATCCACTAAACACTACAACTCTTGGACTTTCCATCTATTTTAGACTTTCTAACTAGAAAATTCACAGCACTGCATAAAATCCTAAGGAGATGTGCTGGGTTTAGCTGGGATGGAGTCAAATTTCTTTGTAGTAGCTTCAGAATACTCATTCAGTATCCTACACCCTGAAAACAGATCTTCAAACAGCAACTTTTATATGAGTTTTTTAATACAGGATTTTTAATGCGAAGCCTGAAAGAACTGTGGCCTAAAAAAACCCACAAAACTCACAAAAATAACCCCAAAACAGGAATGAAAATTGCTTTAAGCCATTACAACAGCATTTTCACAGAATGTCAGCAGCTGTAGTACCTGATCTTCTTGTGAGCAGGTCCCTGGTCGGAATTGTGACTGTCCCAAGAAGATAATCTCTCGCTGTCCGATCTCCCAGTCTGTCAGTGGCTGGAAAAGAGATCATTTTGGAAATATACCAAACTGGACCACAATGTTTAGAAGTGATTGAGATAGTACCTCCTTTGAAAGAAAGCTCTATCACCTCAACAGCAAACAGCTCAGTTCTCATCCTGAAAACACTTGTAATCCTTTTAAATGCATTATCTTTCCATTTAAGAGGTGATCTTCATCACTGGGAGTCTTAAAAGCAATTTGCACAAGGGGAACAGTCTCTCCCAAAACCTTCTCTAAAGACAGCTTAGGTAATTACATCCATTAGCAATGGCACAGAACAGCCCCTGGGAACATTCAGATTCAGGCTGGACAGGGCTCTGAGCAACCTGACCTAGTGGAAGATGGCACTGCTCACTGCAGAGGAGTTAGATACAGTGATTTTTTTGAAGTCCCTACCCAAACTATTCTATGAGTTTATAAATATTCTCTACGCTAAAAATCAAGGGAACTTCTGCAACGACACTCAGTCCTTGTCATCTCTTGTCCTCCTTACCTGACTTGGTGCTCTGATGGTAGATAGAGAAGACAATACTGGCAGACTGCAAGAGTTCTGCCAGACAAGAGGCTTCTCCACTGTTTTTCTGGATGATGAGGTTGCAAAGAAACTCCACACGATGCTCAAACTCTGGGCAGAAAGTACAAGCCACGGCTTGTGTGCGGCGTCTCTGTGCCTCAGGCAGGAAGGAGAGGTGCACAGAGACATAAGCATTCACTCCCACTCCTGCATAGTACTGGACTGAGGGGTTCTTCTGTGCCACAGCTCTTCATTTCATATGTTAAAAAAAACAGAAAAGAAGAAAGAGAAGTAATATAATGTACAAGGCAACTAGGAACCAACACACTTAAAGCAAAGGTTTCAAGTCTTCATGGTGAAAAGATGGGACAGAACAGTGAATGTTTTAAGCCAAAACAGATGTGGGTTCTGGCTGCAGCTTATTTTCCATAATTTTTTTCATCTAAACATAGTAGGAACAGATATGAAATGGGAAGAGTAACTGTCATGAGGTCCATCACTGTTGGCTGTGCTCTGATCTGTGCCAGGATCTCAGACCAAGTGGTTGAGAAAGTACTCAGCACCTTCTCAGCCACTGTGCCCAAACAGGTACTGTCTTATATCAGTCAATTTTTATATCAGCCTTCAGTGTAGAAAAACATGGAAATGAAGGAAAACGTGCCCTTCCAATCTCCATCCTTCTGTACAAATAATGATACCACCCTGTACTGCAGCTTCAGGGACCAAAATAATCACTGATGCTCTTTATAAAGTTATTTTCACTCCTGAGCATAATGCAGTTTGAATCTCAGTCTCTGCAGATGGAAAGTTGGCCAGTTACAATTTATTCTAATCTAATGTCTCAGCCTGCTGCCTCCAGATAAAGCTATTTTAAGTGAAAAACAGTCCTTCTGGAATTAGGCTTCACCTCGCTGCTGCCTGCAAACCAGCTGCTCTGTGTATTTGTACAGACAGTGAAATGGCCTGAGCAGTTATTCCTGCAGCCATCTTCATGGATCGTTGGTATCTCACATTCACATCAAGCAAACCTGGATGAAATGAAAGAAAGGAAGGAAATGGTCAGCTTTTAATAGTTATATTCAGTAGAATCATAGAATGTTAAGGGGTTGGAATGGACCTTAGAGATCATCCAGCCCCGACCCCCTGCCCTGGGCAGGGACACCTCCCTCCCATCAGACCAGGTTGCTCAAGGCTTTATCCAACCTGGCTGTGAACACTGCCAGGACTGGGGCAGAAACAGCCTCCCTGGGCAACCTCTGCCAGTGTCTCATTACCCTCACAGTAAAGAATTTCTTCCTAATATCTAATCTAAATTTCCCCTCTTTCAATTCATCCCCATTACTCCTTGTCCTATCACTGCAGTTCCTAACAAAGAGTCCCTCTCCAGCTCCCCTGTAGTCCCTTCAGGTACTGCAAGGCTGCTCTGAGGTCTCCCTCAATCCTTAGCTACACCTCTTAATACAAAACTTACTCTATTATTGCAAAACAAGTAATTCCATACATAATCCATTGAGACTGCCTGTGGGAGATGCTGTACTTCAGCCAGAAGTACAGAGGAATAGAGGGAAACTTTAGGGACTGCATCCTGCAACTTGACCTACAGACAGTCACATCAGATGGTCCTAATAGCTCCTTCTTGTTGGCAGATCCACAGAACAGCAAATCCAGGAGAAGATGTCTAAGCCACCCACGCCCTCGTGTGTGCACTCACTGTCAGAGCATTAAAACATCCTCGAGCATTTCAACAGTTTTTTATAGCACTGCAGTGACACCACGTCCAAAGAGTCAGATGTTCTGCTGCTGCACGTGGCTCACCTACTACTGAACCTCCCTGTTCAGCCCTAGCTTGTTCTCTGGCCATTTTTTCCGAGAAGCTGCCTCAGAATTCCTCGTGGTCTTCCCAGAGCTGATGTTTGTGTTATTTGAAAGAGCCATAAGAGTACTGAGAGATGTATTTGCACACATTAGGCACCATAAACAGCACTACTTCAGATGTCCCATCCTCTATCTTACATGGGAAGCTGAACTTATTTGTTAATATAGTAATGGCTGTGGCTTATTTGGCAGAGAGGCAGTTTGACACACAGGGAGAGCTTTTAAAAACTCGTCAGGATTTTAAAGGTTGCTCATGTTTAATCACTGATTTTTCACTCGTTATGGCGATAGTGAAAGCTGGGAGGAAAAACACTCATGGCTGGTAGCAGCTGCCAACACAAATACATGTTCTTATTTGCCTTGGAAGGAAACAAACTTTCATTTTTATACACAGAAACAGACACTTGGCTAGGCTGGAAAGATCAAGTCCCAGAACTGCCAATGCCAACACTAACCATGTCCCCAAGTGCCACATCCACAGGGCTGTTAAATCCCTCCAGGGGTGGTGACTCCAACACTGCCCTGGGCAGCTTGTCCCAGGGCTAGACAGCCCTTTTGGGGAAGGAATTTTCCCCAATATCCAACCTGAACCACCCCTGGCACAACTTGAGGCTGTTTCCTCTTGTCCTGTCCCTTGTTCCCTGGGAGCAGAGCCTGATCCCCACCTGGCTGCACCTCCTGTCAGGGAGTTGTAGAGAGCCAGAAGGTCCCCCCTGAGCCTCCTTTTCTCCAGGAGGCTTCTCAGCCTACTTGTGCTCCAGCCCCTTCTCCATCTGCATTCCCTTCCCTGGACACTCTCCAGCCCCTCAATGTCTTTCTTGTCACAAGGGTCTCAGAACTGCCCCCAGGACTGGAGGTGCCTCAGCAGTGCCAGCACAGGGGACAGGCACTGCCCTGGACCTGAGGCCACACTGTGGCTGACAAGCCAAGTGGCACTGGCCTTCTTGCCCACCTGGGCACATGCCAGCTCACGTACAGCTGCTGTTGACCAGCATCTCCAGGAACTTTCCCACCAGGCAGTTTTCCAACCACTCAGCATTACATGGGGTTGTTGTCCAAGATGATCTGCTCCATGACCTTCTCTGGCACCAGGGTCAGGCTGATAGGCCTGCAGTTCCCTGGAACCTCCTTCCACAAGCCCTCCCTACCTGAAGACTGCAGATGAAATTCCTGTGAGGAATCAGTCTGGGGGACCAGTGGAAGATTAAAAGTCTGTATCCCTATTTCTTCACGATGCTGCATTGTCACCATGGCACAGAGCCGTGACAAAGGCAAGGTCCCCTTGGCAACCAGCTGGTCTCTGACATTTGGGTAATAATACCTGGTAGAGACACAAAGCAGCAGCATCAGTCATGCTGTTTGGATAATGACCAAATGATCATTTCTGTCACCTGCACAGAAATCAACTTTAATTTGTGGGTCTTCAAACCCTAGTTACTATCCTGATAGATAAGTAATAATAAACTCAAAGGCAAGGTCCCCTTGGCAACCAGCTGGTCTCTGACATTTGGGTAATAATACCTGGTAGAGACACAAAGCAGCAGCATCAGTCATGCTGTTTGGATAATGACCAAATGATCATTTCTGTCACCTGCACAGAAATCAACTTTAATTTGTGGGTCTTCAAACCCTAGTTACTATCCTGATAGATAAGTAATAATAAACTCAAGGAATTTTCACATTTTTTTGAGAATGAGTGAGTGCTGAAGTGGGTGATGCTATGAATTTATTTTTACACTAGTCCTAGCAGGTCAACAAGCCAAGTCACTGTGAGGGCAGTGAGGCACTGGCATAGGTTGCCCAGAGAAGCTGTGGCTGTCCCATCACTGGGATTTTTCCAGGCCAGGTTGGACAGGGCTTGGAGCAACCTGGACTAGTGGAAGGTGTCCCTGCCTATGGCAGAGGGGTTGGAATTAGACAGTCTTGAAGGCCCCTTCTAACCCAAACCTGTGATTCTATGAACTAGCAGAAACTCCACTAAAAACTGGCATCCCAAAGCAAAAGAGAAGGATCTGGCACCAGATATTCTCAGTTTCCACTAATAAATGAAAATGCCTCTTGCAGAACACATTTGTGGTACCAGTCTGTGAGTGTAATAAGTGACTCTAGACCTTCTCTTACTGTGTTATTTGGCTTCAGAGTCATCCTGAAGTGAGTTTCAGCAGTGTATAACAAGCAATATGTAGACCAGGAAAGGCATCCGCTATGCTATCAGTAGCAGTGAGTGACATGGTAGGACCTGTGTTTCCTTTCCACTTTAGGACAAATCCTGAACATTTATTGAGTGTTTGAATCTTGGGTAGAGCACTGCCTGGGTAGTACTCCCAGCATCTTGGAATATTGGTTGAAACTTCTTGGTTTTGACTTTTCCCTTATACTTCTAGGAGTAATTCAGCATCATAGTAAGAACTTCCTGATCTGGAATCCAGCAATCAATATCTAATTGCCTTCCTAATTATAGAGGTCTGTTGGTAAGCTGTTTCCATTTGAAATGCAAGCAGGTAAGAGGATGTTTACAGAGCTCTCAAACAGCTTCTTGCTTAGTAACCTGCTCCTTTCACCCAAACCAGCCTAAATTTACCAGCCACTATTAGTGAGTGGGCAGGGAAGGATGAAACCAAAGCCTAATTGGCCTCAGGACACCAACCTAAGCACATTTTTTGAAGTGCCAAGTACTAACAACTGGTCACTTCAGCTGCTTTGGTCATTCCCAACATGAATGTAAACACATCCAGCACATAGTAATGCTCATGTGGCCGTGCAAATTGACTTGATTACTACAGGATGAACAGATTATTATCATTATGTTTTTCTAAAGCTATTTGTCTTCATGGCTTCTGCTCTTCACTACTATTAATTAACTTCAGTTGCCAAAGGAACAATTTGAACTTACAAAACATTTTATATCATTTGTCATGGACATCTGTATTGGGGAAAAAACCAAACCCAACACAATGCAATATGCTGCTAGTAAGTAAAATTTAGATGTGTCAAGCATTTAAGCACTACTTTTAGATTGTTATGCTGATAAAAACAGTGGAAGAAAGTAAACAAAGACCACACACTTTCTGAAGAAGTTGTAAAAAGAACAGAGCCATTAGCAGTCTTGGGAAGGAAAAAAGGCTCACAGGTCTTAAATGCAGATACTCATCACCAAGTGTTCATGAGTTGACTTTTTTTCCAGCTATTATTAGCAAATACCATGCAATATCCATTCCACAGCTAGAGATTTTTCAATACCAGATATATCTATCTCTACCTGTATTGCTGTGCCATCTACAAAGAACAGGATGTTATTCTGTACCTGCACCAGACTTCAAACTGGATTCCTCCTCCAGCTGTTCCTGGTGCCATAAATGCACTGACCAGGAGCCTCTGGACTGGGACATAAGCAGGAACCAACAGAGAATGATGATGCTTATCATTAAAGACAGGATCAGGGACACACAAAGTGGTTGCTGTTCGAAATGCCTTTAATTTGATGCCTACAAGTCAAGCAGAGTTGGTTAAAAATGGTTGAAGATTCCAGCCTTTTCCTGTCTGCAATCTTTCAGGAGGCAGGAAGTCAAATTCTCCTGAGAGAAGGTTTGCTTCTCTGAGCTTCACTTCCCAAAGCTTTCACAAGCAATCCATGCAGTCCCATGACCCTGTATGCCACAGGCTGGAAGCTACTGCTGAATGTGGCTGAAAGCTGACAAATCCCACAGAGTTGCTATGGAACAATGCTGTTGACTGTCATTCTTCAGTGGGAACATATGTTAGGGATTCAAGGCACTCAGATCAACACTATGTCCTTTTGTACAAGGGCAATTATTTAAACACTCTTTTATGATCTCAAAAAATGGAGGGTTTAGATGAGATTGGGAAGGAATTCTTCCCTGTCAAGGTGTTGAGGCACTGGCACAGGTTGCCCAGAGAAGCTGTGGCTGCTCCATCCCTGAGAGTGTTCAAGGCCAGGTTGGAGCAGCCTGGCCTATGGGAAGGTGTCCCTGCCCATGGCACAGGGCCAGAACTGTATTATCTTGAAGGCTGCTTCCAACCCAAACCATTCTATGATAAATCTAATGACCTAAACCAACCAGGTCTTCTCTTGGTATATCCATGAAAATCATAGAATCATTAAGGTGGGAAAAGCCCTCTAAGATCAGCAAATCCAACTTTTCCCCAGCACTGCCAAGGACCCCACTAAATCATGTCCCCAAGTGCCACATCTACATTTTTTTTATCATTTTCAGAGATGGTGACTCCACTTCTGCCCTGGACAGGCCGTGCCAGGGCTGGACAACCCTTTTGATGAAGAAACTTTCCCTAATATCCAACCTAAACCTCCCCTGGCACAACTCGAGGCTGTTTTCTCTGGTCCTGTCCCTTGTTCCCTAGAAGCAGAGCCCAACCCCCACTTGGCTGCACCTCCTGTCAGGGAGTTGTAGAGAGCAAAATGAGCATTTTGAATGATTTGTGCATGTAAAGCCTTTGTTGAATTTAACTGGATACAAAATCTCAGTATTCTCTGTGACCCTGTTCCTGCACCTTTGTGGAACCAGTTGGAGCAACCCTCAAGGATATCTTTAACAAAAAGGTACCAAGGGAAGAGATTCAGAGCCAGGTATCTTTCTTGGCTGGGAACTCGCCACCTGCCTAAGTCAAATAAGGCTTTTAATTCAATGACACAGCCCAAGTACAGTTGGAAGCAGATCTTCTGAGGAACACAAGCACTGGCACCCTGAAAGCTCAGAAAAACACACACCCTCACATTCAGGCAGAGAGAACAGTACTAAACAATATTGAATTCAAGCAATGCTCTACATAACAATGGATTAGAAACTAAACTTACCATCCTCGTGCAACTCAGGGCCTTGCAGTGCACCACAACCAGCCTCCTGAACAGGAAAGTAGTATTGGACGTAGCAGTCAGCCTCTCCCCAGACAGTGGACTGTAAGGGAGTGAGTCCTTTCACACTCTCCACATGGATCTCAAACACATGCTCCATCAGGTCTTCCCCTTCTTGGTCCAACTGCTAACAAAGTAAAGGGAACCCACATGGAAAGGATGACTCTTGAGGAAACTGGGAACATCTCAACAGGCTGCCCAGGGAAATGGTCAATTCATTCCTGGAGGTATTTAAAAGATACGTAGATGTGGCTCTTGGGGACATGGTTTAGTGTGGCCTTGGCAGTGCTGGGGGAATGGCTGGATTTGATGGGATCTTCCAACATAAACAATTATATATGATAAGAATCTAGAAAGCCTGAGATGGGGGTAGAACCACTATCTGCTATTTTACTCCTAATGTTCACAGACACAATGCAAACCTGATAGTAAATTTGGGTTTTTTTCCTGCAATAGCCAAAACACACAGAACATAAAAAGCATAAAAGTTCCTACTCATCCAGTTCAAAGGTAGTGGCAAAACATCCGTGGTAAGGCTGTGAGAATTTAGACTTTCTACAATTTGGGAGTTTTTAAACTGCCCTTACCATGTAGACAGAAGCAGTGGATATGCAAGACAATAAAAAAATACCCAGACTGGTGAGAGCAAGCTGGTAAGAAAAGAGTGTAAACAATATAATTCTGTGTAGAATGTGATCATTTATAACAAAATTTGCTGCAGCATCAAAAAGAGATTGGGGATCACTGGTCTGTTAATGAACCCTCTGGTAAAACCACAGACATTTTGCCTTGTAAACACTGGAACAACAGTCTCTAAGCTCTAACAACACTATCTGCACCCACATTTTTCTCCAATGGCCTTAGTTTATCAACACCATTATCATTCACACACCTTTGGCAAGCAGGAAGGTATTTTGTCCCTGTGAAAACAGAGTAAACAAGCTGAGAATCCTTTGGCAATTCTAGGGGGTTTGATCCTTATTTCCAATGCAAATTCTTGCTGTCAAGGACATGTGAAAGGGAAAAACCTTTTGAGGAGTATGGGGATTCACTGAGCAATAAATACCATTGTGGGTTTTGCAGGAGGAAGGTCCAGAGAGTGGGAAGGACGTTGTGTGGCAGGAGGTACCATTCCTTCTTCACATTTTAGCCTTTGCAGTGCCACTATTTGATCAGCTGATCCCATTGCCAAAATGACCCTCAGGCTCCCACTTCTGCTGCCAGTAAAAACATCGATGACAGGCATGTAGCTGTCCACAGCAACCACTGGGTACTGAGCCTGAAGGAGCAGGTGGGAAATCTTTGGATCTCTACAAGAGATTAAAACAAAAAGAAAATAAACCAAACAAAATAGGCTCAGCATGAGAATGAGACATCCGAATAGGAACATGATCACAGGGAGCTCATTTTAGGTTCCATTCCTCCAAAATGTGCCCCAATTACAGTAGTTTTCACACAGCACAGATCCATGACCTGCTGAGTGCACAAGGTTATCATCAGCAATGACAAAGGACAGCTTTCCAAAACCTAATGTAGCCTAGAGACTGACAAGTGAGGAGAACAGGAACAAGACTCCCAGCAACACTCTGAAGCCATATTATACTTCTCTGAGGGAGTTATATGCCTTTGGGGATGGATCTGGGCCAGAAGAAAAGAAGGAACAGGGACAATCTCCCACAAAAATGTAAAAACTTCTAATACTGACACTGAACATATTCAAGTCCAGGTTGGATGGGGCTTGAAACAACCTGGGCTAATGGAGGGTGTCCCTGCTCATGGCACGGGGTGGAACCGGATGAACTTCAAGGTTCCTTTCAACCCAAACCATCCTGAGATGTTAAGGTATACACAAGTAAAATACAGTGGATAACTGAAAAAAAATCATACAAATGACACAGTACTAACTAACAAAGTAGTGTCCAGTCAGCTCCAGCACCATCTGATTTCCACCTATCACTAGGTCTGACCACAATAAAAGGAATTAATCCTCTGCATTAGGAAGAATCTCTTCTGCCCAGGATTTCCATTAATTTAAACTGTTTTAAACACGTATATTACTTGACTGAACAAGAAACCAAGAGATTAAACCACAAAGAGCAAAGAACTCTGGAGAGACTCATCAGATAAAACAAATATAACATGAAGATTTTGGAGACCTTTTTGACACCACAAGCATTATCCCAGGCTGAGCAGCTGGACAGTATGCCTACAGGATCTCTGCAGAGCATAATCAGGGACAAAACCACTCAGTCATCATCTTGGAAAATCGCCAATGGAAAGTCACACTTAATTTCCCTGTGAAGTCACTTTGATGTCTTCTAGTTTTAGTCCTTCATAGGACCACAAGTTAAACAGGCCCCAAACCCGAAGCAGCAGAGTGACTTTATTTCTCACAGTCTACTTGTACTTCTGTGCAAGGACAGTGCAACTTACTGATATGCTGCTCAGTGTAGGAAAGAGCTACAGGAAGCTTGGCAGGGCAAAAATACCTTTTGCTATGAATTATAATTAAGAGTCCTCCCACACAACTCCCAGACAGCATCCATGACCTCTCTCTGAAGCATCAGTTAGGATATTTCCCACCCCAATAAAATATGAAAAAAGGATGATGTTTACTTGAATGAGATGTAAAACTGATGCAGAGGAAGTTTCACTAATCCTAGCAGTCTGTCACAGCCAGGGCTTCCCATCTTGTTCCACACTTCAATAATCATCACATTGTTCTTCAGCCTCTCCAAGTGTTTGGAAGTTAGTGAAAAAGGTATCACCTGAGAGGGTTTAATGCAGAATTAGTACACAGAATTCATTGGAAAATATTGGCTGAGTACAGTGCATTCTGATAACACATGCAATACATTTGAGCATCCTGACATTTCCAAAGAAAAATGTCCACATAAGATCACAAACTCCTAACATTGCTGAATGCCTGAAATTCTGCTGTTTGCTGGGGGAAGGCTCTGGCCCATGTTAGGCCAGTAAAACCCACACTTATGTGCTGATACATCCATTGAGAAGAAAAAGAACACCAGGCAATGGAACACACACAAAAATTCTACACCTACATATTAGGATGTCACCAACAATATGTTTACTTGACAAAACAAAAGAAATAAGTCCATTTTTTTCACTTTTAACCTAAATTTTTCTGACCACTTCTCCTTCATACTTCAAGGGCCTCATTTATTATTAAGATGACTCAAATAACTGCATTCCAAACTGTGCAATCAGCCAAAACAATACTGAAAATACTTCTAATATACTGGACAGAGCCAAGCAGAGATGTTCCTACACATTTAAAAGTAACTTACCTATGAAATGTTTTGTCAATGTGGAATAGAACACTTCAATCAGTGTAAACTGGAAAATGAATGACTTGCCTGAGAAAAATTAAAGGCAGGCTGTGTTGTGCCCCATACAACAGCAGATCTTGTTGCCTCCTCAGTGCTGAACAACTTGAAGTTCAAATATACATTGCAAGAACTGGGGAGCCCATGGCCTTCAGCAACAAAACCTTTTCCATCAGGCACCATCAGCAGCATATGTAGCAATAACCCATCTTCCTCAGATGGAGTTAGCTGTGCCAGTACTTAAAGGCAGGCTGTGTTGTGCCCCATACAACAGCAGATCTTGTTGCCTCCTCAGTGCTGAACAACTTGAAGTTCAAATATACATTGCAAGAACTGGGGAGCCCATGGCCTTCAGCAACAAAACCTTTTCCATCAGGCACCATCAGCAGCATATGTAGCAATAACCCATCTTCCTCAGATGGAGTTAGCTGTGCCAGTACTGGCTTGGCTACAAGGGTTGGCACAGCCTTCCTGCTGCCCACTCCTGGCTCCTGGGAGTCCTCTGGGATCATTTTCAAGCAGTGAGGACTTCCTGCATTTACACTCTTCTTGTTGGGCTCCTGGAATTCCAGCTGGGAGCTTCTTATAGCATGAGCAGGGACTTGCTGCCCAGCTCTAGCTGACCTGGCAGCAGTGCAGGTGAAGTCTTTGTTGTTGGCTGCAAGTTCTAAGGACACCTGCATGGGGCAAGGCAGAGAAGCCTCGTCAGATGTGCCTCATACAAATACAAGGGACTGCAACAGAAACTCAGGAAAGTACATCACATGTTTAGCTAAAGAACTATGTTCTCTCCTCATCCAGAAAGCTTACCCTAAGGCACATGCTGGTTACAAGCTGTAGCTGTTGCTGCAAAATAAACCACATGTGGTTTTATCAAATAAAGCCCAAACTGGAGTACAAATCTATACAATTACAGGTTGGAAGGATCTTAAAGCTCATCCAGTTCCACTCCCTGCCATGGACAGGGATACCTTCCACTAGACCAGGTTGCTCCAAGCCCCATTCAACCTGGCCTGGAACACTTCCAGGGATGAGGCAGCCACAGCTGCCCTAGGCAACATGTGCCAGTGCCTCACAACCCTCAGAGGGAACAATTTCTTCCCAATATCCCATCTAACCCTGCCCCCTGGCAGTGGGAAGCCATTCCCCCTTGTCCTGTCACTCCAGGCCCTTGCAAATGGTCTCTCTCCATCTTTCCTTTAGGCTCCTTCAGGTCCTGGAATGCTGCAATTAGGTCACCCCAAAGCCTTCTCTTCTCCAGGCTGAACAATCCCAACTGTCTCAGCTTTTCCTCAAAGGAGAGGCTTTGAGGATATAATCATCTTGGTGGCCTCCTCTGAATAAAGGAAAAAACTTTGGCTGGAGAAGATAACTCCTGAGGTGACAAGATGGTACCAGTGACAGGGGATATCAGGCCTTTGTGGCAGGAGAGACCTCAGTTCATGTCACACATGAAGCCAAAGCCAAAGCTCTCAGCCCTGAAGATGTGCCACTCAAAATCTGCCTGTGGTTTCTGTATCCAGGCCTCAGCTTATTGACAACATCCTTAGACATGCAGGAGATTCAAAGTATTTCTCCAAACCTCTAAGGAATAAAAAAATTTCATGTTATCTTGTATTTGTCTTACAAACCTTCACATTCAAGACCTGACTAAAAGAGAGAAAAGAAAGAGGATGAAAAAATAAAGCAAAAGTATGCAGCCAAAATTAGTTAACAACAGGTCGTTTAACTCAGACTTTAGATGGTAAAACACATACCTTTAGTGGTCCAACTTGTGTCTGACCTCCCTCCTTTTCTACAGGTATTTCACAGCTGACAGTGAGCAGCTCGGCCTGGATCACCTCACGTAACTGAAGTGCTGCTGTGCCAATGGCCATGGCCTGAGGGCAGGTAAAGAATCAATTCTGCAACATTTCTGTCATGATTAAAGAACTAAGAGCATCTTGTGAAACCAAAGCTTTGTGGGAAGCCATGGGCAGCCACACACCCTCCCCATTCCTCCAAGGTTAGTTGTACCAACAGGGATTTGGAGCAAAGTTTCCCTTAGTACCAATTTCCAGTCTCACTACGACAAGAGTAAGACAAATTCTCTTAGTACCTACTGTAAACAGTTCCAGATTAAGGCAAAAAAATGAACATCCCAAATCTAGTACCTGAACCAAATATCCATACTTACAGACAGAATTTATTCCCCCATTAAAAGGAAAGTTCCTACTAGAACAGACAGGCAGATGTCCTTGGTGTTGAGTAAAATACAAGAATTAACTCCTCTCACCATCTTCATCTCATGTAGATGATGATGTAAATAATCTTAGTGAACAGAAATGTACATTTTTTCCTCCACAGAAAGCACAAGTTACACCATTTTTTCACAGCTCACATTATTCCCCTTACCCTGGGCAGAGTAAAGATACAAACTGTATCCACACGAGCTTCATTCTATATTGCTAAATGAGCTGTGTTCTCATGGAAGAATAATGTTTATAATTGATCCAATGTGCTTAAACAGCACAAAAACAGTTTTAAAGATGAGGTAATGACAATTTTTTCTGCCTGTCAGTCTTGAACTCAGAAAATCCTTTAATGGAGTGACAAGAGTGATAAGCCTGGAACAGCTCCCCAGGGCAGTGGTCACAGCCCCAAGCCTGACAGAGCTCAAGAAGCATTTGGACAATGCTCTCAGGCACATGGTGGGATTGTTGGGGTGTCCTGTGCAGTGCCAAAGGATTGGATCCTTGTGGGTCCAACTTGGGATATTCTGTGATTCTGTGATGACTGAACAGCAATCAGTTCAAGTTATACTATCTAAATATAATGTCATTTCCCTTCCTAATATCTGATTGATTAAGAAGTGGTTCAGTCAAGCCACATGACTTTGTTTTGCCTGTGTTAAGTGTCTGGGGCAAATGGATGGACAAGGAACTGTTAGAGCAAGTCCAGAGGAGGCCACAAAGCTGGTAAGAGGACTGGAGCACCTCCCCTATGGAGATAGGCTGAGAAAGTTGGGGCTGTTCAGCCTGGAGAAGAGCAGGTTGTGTGGAGACCTCACAACAGGTTCCAGTGCCTGAAGGGATTACAGGGAGGCTGGAGAGGGACTCTTTGTTATGTAGTGATATGATAGGACAAGGAGTAATGGGGACAAATTGAAAGAGGGGAAATTTAGATTAGATATTAGGAAGAAATTCTTTACTGTGAGGGTGGTGAGACACTGGCAGAGGTTTACCAGGGAGGCTGTGGATGCCTCAACCCTGGCAGTGTCACAGCCAGGTTGGATAAATTCTTGAGCAACCTGCTCTGGTGGGAGGTGTCCCTGCCCAGGGCAGGGGGTTGGGGCTGGATGATCTCTAAGGTCCATTCCAACCCTTAACATGCTATGAAATCAAACAGCCAAGAATTTCTTTGCTTTTCAATACACAAAGTTGAAACACCTTCTGACACGTACCTTTTTTTGTGTGCTTTTTCTCATGTAGATTTTAAAGGCAAGGTCAGAGCTCCACCAATGCTCCAGTATCCTTCCAACAAACCGCACAGGGAACACAAACCGCCGCTGAAATTTCACCACTGTGAGGGAGACAGATTTGTGAGCTCTTAGCTGCATTCAGAGTTACAACCTGTCCTTTCACCTATATCAGGAACAGAATCTTCAGTCTCTGCAGAGAACACACAGGGTGAGCACACATGAAGGTATGAAGGGAAAGTGATGGCACTTCTGAGAAGGAAGGACACACACACAGAGTATTTGCAAAATCTGCCAATTCAAAGATCAAAGTTAGGAGCTGAAATGGGAAGGGCTGTTGCTGGAACCATCAACAAGAATCTCTTGAGGTTTCAACCTAATAAATTACGTTACAACTCTGCAGGCCATTTACTCCTCCTTTTGTTTTTTCCTTTTTTTATTGCTTACAGGAGCAACAAGTATTAAAAATTACCTGAATGTATACAAACTTTCCTCTGGAGATTGCTTTATTACACACACAATCATTAAATTTTGCATTACTTATTAAGGCCAAAGTAAACTGCTCCTCATTTTCCAAGAGCAGGAAATAGCAGGAGGGCAGCAGGACAAACTTAAGACTATAACAGCATTTAGAGGCTGCAGGTGATACCAAGTCTCAATCAGACTTGCCCTTCTTCAGTGGAAGAACCCTGACTCATTTTGAGCAATAGAGTTCAAGGTGGTTCTTGAAAGAGTCAAAGCTGAGCTGCAAGAATAATTGCAGCTTCAGGAGAAAAGAGGTATCAGCAAGAAAAGATGGAATGAATTGACATTTAGTCTAGGAGAGAGTACAACAACAGTGTCTAAGTACTATGTTTTCCTTGTTCACAGTGGATATGGAAGTATTCTTGTGATGACAAAGATGCAGGTCAGCCATAAGGAAACTTCCAACTGGAAGTGCAGCACTTCTAGTGCTTGTCTGGGATATCTATGGAATTTTCCCCATTCGGCATCTTCAATAAATGAGATAAACAGCACTCAGGAAGGATAACGCTACAGTGAATGGTCTTGATGTGTTCTTCAAATTATTTTCAGCCCAATCTATTTTTCCAGGTTCCCAAGAGCTGGAATCCACACAAGGCAAAGGGCAGGAGTTTTGTATTACAGTGGCTGTGTTACAAAGGTTCAGAAGAAATGCGTTTTGTCTGGCCACAAGTGGAGAATATACAAAAGAACTCAGAATTATCCTCAGACCTCTCAAGTGCCACACAGAAAGATCAATGAATGTCCATATGGAAGAGGCATTTGAAAGTCCCCCTGGAATTCCAGTTCCTAGGAAGGCTGGGCAGAGAGGATCTTGCTCACACAGCATTCTCTGCTCAGTGAGAAGAGAAACAGAAATTGTTCTCAGGGACACAAACACTGCTGACTCTCAGTAAAGAGACTGGTGTCTACTGATTTGAGCAGAGACTCAAGATCCCTTGGATCCAGCAGATTATCTGAGCTCTTGGAGATGCTGACATACTTCAGCATCTGAAAAACTACTTATTTCAGGTATAGTATCTCTGATATTTCTCAAAGTAATTTATTGTCCCCCTACTAGTGTAGGGAGGATATTAGCTTTATGTCGAAATGAAGGAATAGCCTTACTGAGTTGACATTTCATCCATAGGAGAAGAAATGTGAAAATCACAATATGGATAACTCTTGGAAGAAAAAAATAAACTAAAAAACCCCTTGGTTTCCTCCTCCCTGGGAGAACCATTCCATTCTCTGCAACACAGCAACTCTGGGGGCAGAAGTGCTTTTCAGGCAGCAAAGGAAATACACAGAAAACACTACTAAATACTTTATAAGAGATGAAGAAGACCCTAAATATAAGGGGAGAATACAATGCTCTTACCACCATCTGTGATTTTACTTGAAGCTACTCGAATTACTTCTGTTGTTATGGAGATCTGTCCTTTATCATCCTTGGAGACTCCCACAGGGAAATGGTACTCCACAAAGAAGGTGCTATGAGTAAAACAAGTGCATGAATTATCACAAACCATCAAAAAATCTAATGTGCATCATGAAACTGAACACAGCAGGCAAGTTCCATACACACAGTTTATTGTCACTACTTTTTAAGATAACTGAACCACCTGAATTCCTTCAGTAAATTATATATATATATGCCTATTCCCTTTCCATAAACCTTGTTTTCAAGGTTCTGCCAGGCACAAAAGTACACAAGAAATACACCTTCTACCTCCCCCAAACGCCTGAAAAAGCACAGCCTGAAGCGAGCCCACATCAGGATAAATTAGTCACATCTCTTTCCCAAGCTTATGAGATGCAATTTCCTGAGAGAAGCAGAGAAATAAGAAGCCCTCAGAAGCCTGGAGAGCTTAGGCAAGCTAGACTACACAACAGGCCTCAGGGAAATGTCCCTTGAAGGCACAGGAAACACGGAGGGGAGAAACAATTCCCCTTACCACTTATTAACAGTTGTAGGCCGTGGAGGTTTCCCCATTAAACCTTCCTTCCTTGGGGAAAACTGGATGTTCTCAGGAGAGATTTTCAAGCTTTCAATGATGACTCTGGCCAGGTGGATTTGCTGCAGCAATGCCAACTTGTCTGCACTCAAGGATGTGACATAAGATGCTTCTGTGTGCTCTTCCAGAGCAGCAAGTGTTGCAGTGGGAGAGGAGCTGGAGAGATAAAACTGAGGCTCAGAACTACAGGAACATTCTTAACATGGCCAGGTGAAGCTCTTAACATGACCACATGAGAAGAAAATTGTAGGTTGGTGGGATAATTTAAACCCTGCTCATGATTCATTAAATTGTGGATTTTTTTAATGTATTTTTACAACAAATTTGGTGGTCTCTGTAACAGAAGTCTTAGAGTACCTGGGGTACATGATTGAAAAGAAAGAAAACACATCAGAAAGTGCCTGTTCCACATTGCTGATGTTTTGAAAAAAGTCTTGTGCTAACACTTCAAAAAGAAAAGCTCCATTTAATGTCATACACAAAAATAGGGAGATGAGAGCTATGCTCATGGACAAGTCTGCTGCAGAGGAACAGCAACAAGATTTTTGACAGAGTTTGAAATCTCACTTGTGCTTTATTTGCAAGACTTGACTTGTGAATCGTTTTGTGTTGGTGCCTCTGGAGATATGAACATAACCTGACTGTAAAAATAGCAGTATTTGTAAGAAAAAATTGTTTGGAGCTGAATTAAGATAAAAAAAGAGCCATAAAACCTTAAAACTAACTGTATTGTACAAGTGAAGCTTGATAACTGGATATTTAGGGATATTTTTATTAATTCTGCCATGGAAAAAAGGGAATACAATTTAGATGAGGTCAGAACAGAAGCCACTAGTGTAACTATTTACCTGGGTTTAATTTCTGTCACATTTTGATCAAAGGCATTAAAATCCTGTGGATTCACTGGATCATCTTTCTTGAGAGTTTCTGTCTTGGATGCTTTTTTTGAGGATTTAACATCAACATCATCATCATCACTGAGGAAATCACTTAAACTGGAATCAGATTTCTGAACGGAAATAATGCACATAAAAAGTTAATTGTTATTGTTAAGAGATACATAATGGTCATGATACATGAATTAGAAAGAAAAAAACCTTATGGACTGCAGCATTCAAAACAATTAAAATGGTATCAAAATTTTCAGAGGTTTAGAAAGAAAAAGTCTTCCTGGACAGCCTCAATCCAACCAATTTCCAAACTCAGTGCTTGACTTTATAGCCTTGACAGTATTCTTTTAATAGTATTAATTTTAAGCAATGAGTACATTGCTTCTGTATGATACCTAATGCTTACTCAGCCTCCAAATACTGAAATCTGTAGCTTTTTCACGCAAAGTTCTGGGTTTCTTCCCATTAGGGATTGTTGAAGCACCTTCCTTTTGGTGTTCACTTACAGGAGCTGTGTAGAAAAGCCTCTCCAGCAGACTCTGGTCATAATGGGGATCATCAAGCTCACTGTCATACACCTCATTCCCAAGGGAGAGAGAATCCAGAAGTGACCCTGTGTGATCCCAGGAATGCACTGGAGAGAAATCAGCACTGTGGATACAAGAGAAGGAAACATACCTCAATGTTCCAAGTTCTGCATGCAGTTCCTAATGAATCTGGGTTTGGACTACATTGTGTACAGTACTGGGCACCACAAGGTAAGAAATATATAAAGAGAGTGTCCAAAGGAGGGAGCTGTCCAGATTGTCATGCACTACAGCTGAGCTGTAGAACACCTTCATTACTTCCATACGTGATTCACTGGTTACATTCCCAAAAAAAGTGGGGAACTTGCAGAGCCAAGAGACATTTTTCAGTACAAAACAGTCAAATAAAGACAATTTTTCCCCTCAGGGCATCACACTCACCTGCCCAACAGTAAATGTATTGCTCTCTCTTCAGAGTTTAGGTCTAACTGCTGACCTGAAACTTCAGATGCAAAGTGATGGAGATCTTCAGGAATGGGCACAAAACTGGAGTTCAAGCCTTTTGAGATCCTGGATAACAGCAATTGGGGCACAGAGAGCAGTAAAAGGGGAACCAAAAGGTTAGTAAGGCGTTTGGTAGAGGAATCTGTTAACTGGTCTAACAATTTTTCCTAAAACGTCCAAAATCATTGACTTTTAAACAAATACAAACAGTTTGAGCAGAAATTATTGAAAATGTGTCTGCAATTGCATCACTGACTGTCAAAAGCAATGACATTACTTTCTGGTTATCAAAGAACAACAAGCAATATTCACATTTTTCCAGAGGAAAAAGAAAGAATTGAAGTTCTTCCTATTAAAAAAAAAAAAAGCATTTGTTTTAATACTTCTAAATGTCACTGAACTGAGAACATTTACTAAGTCTAACACTAGACAAAGGAGGAGTTAGAAGTTGAAAAAGCACCAGCACTTTTTTTTTTAAAATCTGCTAAAAAATGTCACGTGGAAGAAGGTAATGACTACAATTTTGAGAACAGTGAGAGAGGCAAATTTTCATAGGTGTTTTGGCACCAGGAGATGCGAACTACAATGTGCATAAGTACTCAATTTAGGTCACCAATTATATACACTTACCTGAAAACCTGCTCTCTGTGATGAAGTACCATTTCACTTGCACTTCCTTACACTACTCTTATTCCCTATCAACATTTAATACTTCCTTATCCAAGAACTCTACACTAAATACAAATATACTATGAAAATGGCAAGAAAATCAATTACTTAAATCAAGGTTTACTACATGAAGATTAAAATCAGTTCACAAAATTTAGGCTTTTACTCACAGGTAGAAATTCCCATTTGAATGAGAATCCTAAAACACATCCCATGAATCTCGGTATTTAGCTTTCCTGACAAGGCCTCAAAAATGTATGGTTTGGAACTCAAATATCACTTCCCCCCTCCCAAACTCACTTTGTTGGTGCTTTAGAATTGTCTCTCTCTATGAAAGGAGTCACTTCTTTCAGTTCAATCTCCATGTCTGGGCTGGACTTCATTGCAGAAACCACCATGGCGTCACGGAGTTTACTGCCTTGATCCAAGAGAGCTGAGGAATAAGCACAAGGATTACATTTCAGCATTCAAGTGCAATTAAAAAGCAATATGTAAACATAATAAATGTGTTGGCTACAGTTAAGAAACTTCTGTTTGCTGCTGTTATAAAGAGATCTTGACACACTGCAGATGAAGTGTGTGTCATACACCAGAAAACAGCTCAGCTGGGAGTAAGAGAGGGGAATCGTCCATCAGGCTCCCACTCAGAACTGTACAAACTCATCCACATGCACACACCAAGTCAGGCACTGGAAGAGCATTATTCTGACACAGAAGCAAGACTAATTTAGGGAAGAGTGGTTTATCACCTTAGGATATCTAATTTTAGGTCTTTTCTGAAAATATAACATCCAAAGGACAGCAAATATGTGCCCTACTCTGGTGCTCATTCCAACCCAGTCCAGGCAGTCTGTGGTCTAAAAAGCTTCAGGATGATGGAAACCATTTTCCACCTGAAAATGCCAATGGAATAGAAACCCTCCCAAGACCTATGGAAGGAGCTCTGATGGTCATTTCAAAGGACATGTCAATGATTTAACAGCCTGAGAAGCTGAGCTTTCTTTGCTATTATACCTCTAGGGCAGAGCTCCTGCTGGGACACTATTTTGCCTGAGCTGCAAACTCTAGACAGCTTCCAACAAGTATAAATCAGAACCTTTTAAGTAAAAGGTTTTTTGATATAATATAGCAAGAAGGTGTGAAGTACCCCTTGTCCTTCAGACCTCATCTCTGGATAGGCACCCAAAATATTACCGAGAGCTGTTTGTTGTGGAATCTAAGAGACCATGGTAGTTGCACACAAACCTGAAAGCAGATCTTTTGTAGCTGGGTTGTGCACAGAGAGCATCTGTGTGTTCCTTCTAGCAGGGGCTTCAGGATCAGTGCTGGAGGGAAACAACAGGGACTGATGTGAAGGATTCACTTTCAGAGGCTCATCCAGTAAAATCAGAGGGTGATGAGAGGCAGAAAAAGTGTCCTTTATATTCTCAGAGTCCTCTTCAAAGAGCAAATGGTCCTTTCCTCTAGTGAAAAATGAAATGATATTTCACTAACAAGTGTTAAAGGAAAAGGTATTCAAAAAAAGATTCAAACTTCTTCAAATTCTCACTGCGGTACATGCTCCAAAAACAAATGTGACACATTAATGACTCCTCAGCTGCCGCTAAGGCTTAATCAGAGAGACCAACTCAAGCTGCAAGTAAAAGGTTTCAGTTTTTAAAATGTTTTTAGAAGACTTTTTTCCAGGAGGACGTTGTGACAGGACAAGGGGGAACGGATTCAAACTGACAGAAAGTATGCTTAGATTGGGTATTAGGAGGAAGTTGTCTGACGTGAGGGTGGTAAGGCACTGGCACAGGTTGCCCAGAGAAGCTGTGGCTGCCCCATCCCTGGAAGTGTTCCAGGCCAGGTTGGACAGGGCTTCGAGCCACCTGGTCTAGTGGAAGTTGTCCCTGCCCATGGCAGTAGGTGGAACAAAATGGTCTTTAAGGTCCTTCCAACCCAAACCATTCTCTGATTCTATGATTTGTGACACCTCTTGTGTCAACTAACATAGCCTGAACTAAGTCACCATAGGATGCAAATTTCTATCAGCTAACAAACTGTCCCTGTAGGCCCAGAAAAACTCAACGTTCTGGATTTCATACAACACACACTCAAAGAGATCAAGTGTTCCTTAACTCACATGTGTACAGCCATTACTTAAACAAAGAATGTGAACTGCAAAATAAACCAGAATTTTGCCACGGGGGGAAAAAAAGGTACCTGGGAGTTGTGGCCATGCTGTTGGTAACAGGCTCTTGGTCAACAACAGTGACCTGTGTGTGCCTGGGCTGCTGGGATACAGCTGGAAGCTGTGGCTTGCTGCTTCCCTGAGCAGGAGCAGAGTCCAGACTTGCCTGTGTGGCTGGGACAGAGGTACTGGTGTCATACAGTTCTGGCAGAGGTTCTAGAACCAGTGAGACCTAAAAGACAGAAAGGGAAAGTCATATTTTGTTCTGTTCTTAATTATGTGCAGCACATCCTGTATTCAACTTGCCATGCTAAAGAAAACTGGTGCTTTTCTACATAAAGCAATGTAGCTATGACACATCATAAAACTCTGATATGCTTGTTTCTCATTCCATGTTTTCAAACTATCTTTCCACATCAACTCCCCAGAGCCAGAGCTGCAAGACAGAACCTTCTGAATTCCAGATTTCAAAATCTCCTACAATTTCAGCCCAGTGAGGCTCTGGAAGAGTGTTAGAACTGAGTATCCATTTTTAAATCCACTGTTAAAACTCACTCAGCGTAGAGGTGACAGATTTTCTCTTTCTCAAGCTGAATTACCACGCATCCTTCTAAACAAAACAGAGTCGACACCATCAAGATGCATGTTCTATCTGCTACCTTAGCTCACAAATGCCTTGGACAGAGACCAGGCCTGCAGTGTACTTAGTACAGCTACATATAATCAGTACACCTGATTACACAGGAGTTACAGCACTGCATTTATAATAAAAAGCAAAGACATCAGGACTACCTGCAGCTCTCCAAGTTTATCAGATGTTGGTGACACCACAGAGAAAGAGCCACTGATGGGATGGCTGGGAGAGAGCTGGGACAGTTTGGTGATCTGCACTCTACCAAGGGGGAGGTGGTCAGGCTTGGTCAGTACCTCCAGGACAAGCACACCCATGTCTGTGAAAGATAGGAGCAGCTTCAGGTCAGTCTCATGGGCACAGCTCACACATTTGAGTTAAAATGACAGATGCCAGAGGTGAATGTCATGTTGCATGATGGAATTATGATAATGAGGCAGCAAGTGAAGATCAATTACAGATATTATTACTGATAATAAATGATAAGTCAGTACAAGATTACTAGAAAATGAATGCTTAAGATAGGACAAGGGAGAATGGCTTCCCATTGCCAGAGGGCAGGTCTAGGTGGGATATTGGGAAGGAATTGTTCCCTGTGAGGGTGGTGAGGCACTGGCACAGGTTGCCCAGAGAAGCTGTGGCTGCCCCATCCCTGGAAGTGTTCCAGGCCAGGTTGGATGGGGCTTGGAGCAACCTGGTCTAGTGGAAGGTGTCCCTGCCCATGGCAAGGGGTGGAACTGCATGAGCTTTAAGGTCCTTTCCAACCCAAATCACTCTGTGATTCTATGAATAGCAACAGCCATCACAGATTTTATGGACAGACTCTAGACATCACGCATCCATTAATTTCCTGCATATCTTTCACTAAATTAAGCACCTTAATAATGTTACAAGCTCATCTGAGTAACTTGTTGGTCTCTATGCCTTTAGGACACTACAATGCCTGTGTAATATTATACTAAAAATCTTGGAATCACAGAATGGTTGGGGTTGGAAGGGCCCTCTGGAGACCATCCAGTCCAACCCCCCCTGTCTGGGCAGGGCCACCTAGAACAGGTGATACAGGAACCAGGTGGGTTTGGAATGTCACCAGAAAGGGAAAGCTCCACACCCTCCCTGTGCAGCTGTCCCAGCGCTCTGCCACCCTCCGTGGCAAAAAGTTCTTCCTCATGCTGAGGTGGAGCAGTTGTGTTTGCCTCTCCCCTCAGCCTCGGGGTGAAGCATCATTACCTGCCAGGTACGCAGCGAACTGCCTGGGGCTGCAGCGCACAGCAAAGCGGGCTGTGGTCCTCCCCGCGGGCATCCCGGGCCGGGAGGGGGGCTGGAACACGGTCCC